AGGGGTTTCAGATAGCGTAGAGGTGGAAGAGGCTACAACTGTTTCACAACTCACAGGAGTCTGTTTTCTAGGCTGTAGCAGAGACTGAGGTTGAAATTGAGGCTTCACCTGGGGCTGAAGCTGTGGCTGAGTAGCAGCAGGCCGAGAGACTGGCATCGCAAGGTCCGTCCTGTTCCTTAAAACCTTGTCCAGGACAGCAGCAGAAAAGCCAGCAGAGGGACCAGGAGGAGTAGTGGAGCCAGAAGAAGCAGCTATCGGACCAGCAGGGGATTCAGAAGCAGAGGGATCAGCAGGAGCAGGAGAACCAACAGCCGCTGTAGAGCAGGAGCCTTTGGCGACGCCCTGGTCGCTGCAGCTCCTATTGTTGGTTGCTTTGAGATGAGGGAGTCTAAAAAGACCACAAAAAATTTGTAGTGTGCGTTGTTTAAGCTTGGAAGGTGGAAATTAGATTTGTTCTGCCCCATACCTTCCACAGATTTACAAGCAGCCACCATCTCTGCATCATCATCCAGCCACGACAGAGGGTGTCTCTGGGAGGGGCGTGATTCCTCCTGCTGAGCAAACAGGAAAAGCATCAATTAAAGACTTAGTTAACTTGAAAATTTTACTAATTATGTTTAAGGCTAGAAATAATTTACTGCCAACTAATCTACAAAGGTTCTTTGTTTTGATCCCAAAAAATGATAAGAGTAGAAAGAAACCAGAGTTTAAAAGGATATTTGTTCGTACTACATTAAAGCAAATGTGTATGTTAACATATGGTGTGAAATTATGGAATAACCTGGATGATGAATTAAAAAAATGTACAAGTACTGGTCAATTAAAAAAAATGTATAAAGATAAAAGGTTAAAATCGTATGATTTGGTGGGTTTAGGATGGAGGATTAATGTTTTAGTAGTGATATTATTTGTGGAAGTAAGAGAGCGGTTTATTTTTTGTGTATAAGGCTATTTTGTACTTTTTGTTATTTATCTTGTCTTAGTTAAAGGGGGTAGGTCATATAAGATTTTTTCTTCTTCCTCCCCCTATTTCACTCAAATGCTTATATTCTAATTTGAAGTTTGTATATTTAAACTTTGAGTGAAATAAATTATTGAATTGAATAAACAGGGAGCCCAGTGTGCGCCCCCCAGTGGAGGGTTAAGGTATTTATATTGTGCCGTATCACACACCATGGTTGGCGGAAGAAGAAGTAGTTCTTGCTGAAAACGCTGAAAAGTAGCGGGGGCGTCCTCAAACCGAACAGCAACATGGTGTACTGGAGCAGGTTATCTGGAGTGACGAAAGCAGACACTTTAGATGCAAACGGAGTTAGCGGCACCTGCCAATAGGCTTTTAGAAGATCTAGTTTAGTAACAAATGTAGCTGAACCCACACTATCCACACAATCCTCTACACGAGGCAAAGGAAACGAATCTGGGACGGTTTTTGCATTTAACTTGTGGTAGTCAGTAACAAACCTATATGAGCCATCAGGTTTATTTTCCAGTAAACATGGTGAGCTCAAGGAACTGGTGCTGGGCTTTGCTAGGCCATGTTCTAATAGATAAGTTACTTCCTTTCTCATTAGTTCCCTCTTCATCGGACTAGCCCTGTAAGGGTGCATATGAACGGGGACGGAATCAGTAAGGCTGATGTCATGAGTTATTAGGTGGGTCTGACTGGACACGTCTGAAAATAGTTCCGGAAAAGAGTGAATTAGATGAGAAAGCTCCTCCTGTTGCGAAGAGGTGAGGTGACCCAAACTGGACGACAGGTTGGAGAGAGCTTCGGAGTTGCAGAGACGTGGGGTGACAGGGGGCAGCAAACTCCACGCCACAGCATCGTCTTGCACAGTATCAGGCAGTGGGGGAGAAACCTCTGCAGAGACTAAACAAGGCTGAGTCACAGCGGTAGCACGTTCATGAAATAGCTTCAAACGATTCACATGGCAAGTCATGGTTTTCTTTCTCATTAGAGGAGTTCTGATCACATAATTGGATTCACTGAACTTGGAGAGAACCTCAAAAAGCTGCAGCCAGGGAGAGAGAGGTGTCGGCGCGCTAGGATGATGTCGACGCCAAAACAACCAAAACAAAGTGGAGACTCACCTCTCACATCAGGAAGAATCTGCGTGTTTCGAGCATTATCCGTTCTTTCATAATCCGTTGTTGAATTGTGTTCGGCAGAAGCTTTTCTGGTTCGCGCCTCACTTTTTACAGCAGCGGCCCACGTCAAGACGTCGTTTCTGTTACTGATAAGGAAATGCATGCATTAAGCAGCGCGGTCTGTAGAAGCTGTCATCAGCTGATCAGGAGCTGCTAGAGGTAGATGTTTTCATCCAAGAGCATCACGGCCCATGAAGAACGAGGAAGACGTGATGAATATCTACGGCTGCAGACCCGCCGCAGATTTGCTGCTGTAGGTGGGAATCTGCAGCAGTGAATCTGCGGGTCTGCAGCCGTGCCCTTCTTGGCGTGACAGCGGGAAGTCCCGAAGGTCCGCTCACCTGTTCACCACTCAGACGTCCTGATCTTTTGCCTTCCTAGATCATCCAGCTGTAACCTGTTCCTGATCATGTCTTTAGCCCCGCTGTAACACTGATGTATCAGTCTCAAACGACATGGAGCTCAGGTGTTATTAGAACCTGTGTGTGTTTACCACCCAGCTTCAGCTCTTCTGTGGTTGGGTCTGACCCACGTTAGTACATTTAAGTCCTCCATCAGGCTTGTGCCTCTTCTAGTGTCATTTTAAAGGATTTTATTTATTTATTTAACCATTACTAGATTACCAGCAACAGAAATGCTGCTAAAAACACACAATTATGTGAAGCTGGAAAAATTAGAATACTGTGCAAAATTACATTTATTTCTGTAATTTAACTAGACCGAGATACCATTTAAAGGTTCGGGAACCTTTACAGGTGTTTCCATTTGCAATTTTAAATTTCAGCTGATTGGGGTCTTGTTAAATATCACACAGTGACCTTTTAATAGTCTAGATTAGTGTAATGTTCCTATTAGTAGTTCCTCCTGTTAAGTTCTTATTTATTTAAATTATTCAAGTTTATAAAAAACATTTGGACATACATTTTATTATGTTCCAGTCAACAGTCATTTATATTTCACTATTGTAGTAATTCTTGCATTCTTTAATGAAAAAAGTAACTAAGTAGTTATTTTTGTTGGTAATCAGTTACTTTTATGATCTTGTAACTGAGTTACTTTTTTGACAAAGTAATCAGTAACTATAACTAATTACTTTTTTAAAGTAACGTTCCCAACACTGATTAACGCACAGGCCAGAGATTCATCTGCCCGTGCTAGGAGAACGGGACCTGCTCTAGCTGTGAGAATGCCGTGTGTGTGCGCTCACCATGATGACCAGTAGAATATTCTGGAAGTCATTTCTGAATCCCAGTGTGGAGCTGCAGAACAGAGCAAAGTTTCCTTCCAGAAGTTGCAGGGTAAAAAATAGGCTTGCTCAGTCAAACTGCACACGCACGCACAAAAATCATTTTTGTTCCGTGAGGATTTATTCCACACTCACCATGAAACCCAGTGAGGTAAAGAGGAAGACTACGACCAGTTTGGCGTATGGTCCGTGTCCCATCACGAGCCTGATTCCTTGAAAAAAGGCATGGGCTGTGACCAGACCTGGGAATGCTCTAAAAACAGAAAATAAACCAGAAACAGTCAGAACACCACCTGATACCTGTACAAGTCTCTAGAAGCATGTTGCTTTGATTCCTCGCAACATCTTTCACCTAGTCAGCTGACTTTCATGCTTTTCCTTATTGCCTTTAGATTTGACCACAGCTTTGGCTTGATCACACGGCCCGTATTGCTCAGCTACAACTGTCTCGTTATTGGTCACAGTCAAGCCCCTTCATCACATCACATCATGGAAGTTCATGGAACTTGAAATCAGATTTACAAAATAATGGATCATGCAAAATCATAAGATCTGGTGTAATTCGATATGAATGACTGACCTAAAAAATGAACAGATTTCAGATGAATATGTAAAACCAACAGAGTTGGTGCCATTTTTGTGTTTGCTGATGAAACTTATCTGTGGTAGCCATCTTTTGCCAAGTTAGAGCTAAAAGCTAGTCTGAGCTAACCGCTAGTTTGAAACAAAAAGTAGTCTTAGTCTGAGCCAAACGCTAGTCTGAGCAAACCGCTAGTCTGAGCCAAAAGCTAGTCTTAGTCTGAGCCAAACGCTAGTCTGGGCTAAGTGCTAGTTTGAGTTAACAGTTAGTCTGAGCCAAAAGCTAGTCTGAGCTAACCGCTAGTCTGAGCTAACAGCTATGCATCCTCGAACAATTCTCCGGACATCGTTTACTGCAAATCGTGATAATTTCAACAAACATTAGTCAGCTAGCAAGTAGCTAGTTTTTGCTAGCTTTAGCTTTAACATCGATTGACTAACCTTATGCCGGCTTCTTCTCCTGGACTGTCTGGACGTGAGGGGGCGGCCTCTGTAAAACACGGGAATCAGAGACGAACGTGACGTTGCTGTGTCGTTAAAGAAACTTATTGGTTTATTTTGAATTTTCCGATTTTCCTTACTGATTGGAGGATTAGCGCATTGTGTTTTCTAAAGACTTCAACCTTATTGGGAGATATTTTTCCACGTGATGTATTCTATCCCGCTGATTGGCTCAAATTCGGCTATATATTTTTCAATCCAACTGCCACTCTCGTCTTTGAACAAGACTCGTTTCAGTGCGCACTACGTAGGCTTGCTTGGGGTTTTGCCTTCTTTTTAGCGTTGTAAAGCAGCATTTTGGAGAATATTTCATTTGTGCTTATTGTTATCTGTCGTTTGTTTGTTTGTTTGTATGTTTGTTTTAAGCAATATTAGCTGTATTCAGCTGGCGTGTTCACTTCTTATTATGGTAAGTAATACTTACATATTTGCTGTGTCGATTTTTACGCAAGCAGCTTCATTATTCTTGTGATATAATTTGGAAAAGAGTAAAGTAGTTTTGTTGAATCTGCAGCGTGAGTGAGTGTCCATGTGGCACGTGATGTAACATTTAACGGTAAGACACGAAGGGGGGGTGGACTCGCGCTGCTGCGAACCGGTTCCGCCGTTACATTCCCGCAGAAACTGGTTGATCACACCGGGACCAGACTCGAGTCTCAGACATTGGGGTTTTACAACCACAATGTCCTAGGAAGCGAAAACGCTTTAAAAAGGGAGGGAGGAGTCCTAACTGTTGCTGCAGGCTGTAACGGGGTGACTCGAGCTGGGCGAGAGTTTGGATGTGGCGTGGCTTTTAACCCAAGCGCGGAGTGACTGACGCCGGGTTGAATGGACACGCTGTTCTGGGAGCTGAGTGCGCAGCTGTATGGTGACCTGGTGACACAGCTGAACACGGCGAGTCCTGGTCTGAGGCTGGTCTCTAAGAACAGGCAGGATTCTTAGATCTGGCTGGTCTGATCTGAGCAGGCTTCGTGATCTGAGACAATCTGGTTTGGACTCTGGGTTAGGTTCGGTTCGAACAATGACTTTGGTTTTATGCTTGACGCATTCACTTTCCGCGCGGTGATGCGGCTCGCGGATGGAACGCGCTTCACAACTCGCAGTGTTTATGGTTTGTGCGGCTTGTCTCTGCGGTGAGCCAATATTCTCCCAAACTGAACGGGGCAGCATGGAGCTCTACAGCATGCATTCAACACTACACCATAGTAGAAGTAAAAATTACTGTTTACAACATGGCATTTCAGCATTTTTAACAGCGTTCTCGTCTTTTCCGACAGTGCGAGCTATTTCTCTCCAAGAACTATTAACAACATGTTGATCACGGTGACCTCTGAGAGCTGAATCATACAAATGTCTATTTACGAACCTCTGCCACAGTAGTTCTTGCTGGTCCGCCATGTTTTTCCGCGTGGTTAGAAATTTTCCGAGGTGCGCTTTGCGGAAATTCTGGGCCGTGCGGAGGCGCGGTGGAGGGGCGTGGTTGTTAAAATGACGCAACTTTTCCGCGCGGAGCCGTGCGGACCTCGCACCACGCGGACGGTCGGACGCGGAAAAACATGGCGGACCGGCACGGCAGAGGTTCGTAAATACAGACATTTGTATGATTCAGCTCTCAAAGATCACCGTGATCAACATGTTGTTAATAGTTCTTGGAGAGAAATAGCTCGCACTGTCGGAAAAGACGAGAACGCTGTTAAAAATGCTGAAATGTCATGTTGTAAACAGTAATTTCTACTTCTACTGTGGTGTAGTGTTGGATGCATGCTGTAGAGCTCCATGCTGCCCCGTTCAGTTTGGGAGAATATTGGCTCACCGCAGAGACGAGCCGCACAAACCATAAACGCTGCGAGTTGTGAAGCGTGTTCCAGCCGCGAGCCGCATCACCGCGCGGAAAGTGAATGCGTCAAGCATAAACCAAGCTTAATGCTTGATGGTTGATGCCGACGTGAGTCGGTGTTGTGCGGCACTTCCTTAAATAGATTTGGCGGGTGACGTGAACCGGAAGCCTGGCGCTGGGGATGTTGGGTAATGGAGTCTGAGCGGCTCTGCGGTGCCTCCCTAGAGGAGGTTGACAGCTGAGAGGGAGGTTGCGTGAGTGACACAGGCGTGTTGTGTGAGAGTGCAGTTATTTACTGGTTAATAGGGCTGCTCGATTATGGCAAAAATAATAATCACGATTATGGTGACTGAAATTGAGATCACGATTATTTAGGACGATTTTTCAACTTATGTTGATTTTATTTGTTTTTATTAAGTCATAAAATTGCTCAGGGCACAATCAGGACAAAAATAATAAACTAGATGATCACTAAAATAACTCCTGATTCCCAGTATAAAAAGACCAATATACTTATAGCTCACAGTCTATGACCCAAGGGCTGTAGACCTTGGTTTAACTCATGTAAGTCTAACCAGTACAGACCCAAATACCAATACCTTGCAAATACTGACAGCAAGAATTATACAGTGACATTTATAACAAATAAATGCAAAGAAATTGTTCACAAAATGTTGCATAACATTGAGTCGTGTCAAGGTGCTGTAGGAGAGTGCACAAGCACCGTGTTCTCAGAGAGATTAGTTATTAGTTATCAGCGTGAGGAACTTATTTCTACCTTATTTATAAACTATTTATTTACAGGTCCATCAGTTAATGTAATAATTGTCCCAACCACAGCTACACCCCCCAACCCGGTCTCACAGCAATCGGGGGAAGCTGCACGTGTGTTTAGCGCGCCGCACACGCACATTTAGTCATTTTTAGTGGCTCAGGAGTCCGTAGGTGCGGTGTGTGTGTCACTCACTCTGGTTAATCCAACAGGGAGCCAGCTCCGAGAGCTGTTTAGCTAACCTGCAGGAAATGTTGACGACCGTTATCCAGAAAATAGCTAAGGGTTCCCAGAGATGTTTCTGAGGTGTTTGCTAGGTACTTTTAAGTTTGAAAAGTCAAGAAGGGGGTCTGAAAAGCTGCTAGAAATAGCGTCAAAGTCGCTAAGTTGGCAACACTGTGGAGGAACGCTTCATTTGCAACTCAGGGCAGCGCAAGCGGGAGGAGCAAATAATCGGCTTGTTTTGTTTTTTTATAGTCGTTCAAAACTCAGATTGTAATTGTGATTAAAATTCGATTAATTGAGCAGCCCTACTGGTTAATATATTTTTGGGTTCAGTTGCTTTCATGTGGTCTAATGTGAGTCTATTTGGGATCGTTGGAATGATCAGCAGCATTTTTTGATGTGACTTATGGCAGTTGCCCAGGGCATCATCACAAGGAGGATGGCATTCATTTACTTTTGGTTTATTTGGTATTTTTTCAGTCATTTGTGGAAATGGTGATTAATTTTGATTAATTCACAGCCTATGTTTAATTACTTTTAAAAATTAGTTGTTTGACATCCCCAATTATAATAAATGTCTACAGATGAGATCAAACAAAACAGATGAGAATTGCCCTTAAAGAGCAAGTCACCAGCAAGTCACCCCCAAATCAACTTTTTTTTGCTGATAAAACGTGGAAGTAACGTGCATTTTTGAGTCACTTCTGTTTTATGTTTCTAACAGAAACTTGTAGTTTTTCACATTTGAATGTAATATTGTCAAAAGTTTATTTTTGGCTCCCTGGAGAGCTAAGCCCAACCAGCCATTCCTCCCCATCCCCGCATATTTCTCTCCTCCTGCTCCCTCACATCATCACACAAACATACACATAGGACCTTGGGGGGGTGGGCATATCAGGGAGTGCGGGTATGGACCCATTTCCGCATTCCTGTGTCAACCTGCCCCCCAATTTTATTTGCACCTTATACACTTCCACTGACGACATTCCACACAAACACATACTTAGGGCCTTGGGAGTGAGCACATTCAGCGGCATTTGGCAGGGGGATTTCTCAGCCTCCTCCAGGGTGCCGGTGGCCACTTCCAATTTTAAAGTGCACTTAGACACCGAGGGCTGTGGGTGCAAGTGGGGTGGTGTGGTGGCATCAACTGGCATGGGCAGACAATGCCCGCACTGCCCGCTCACCACAGCCATGGAATACACCTCCTGATCACACAACACTATATTGGAGCAGGCGGAGGGAGACTAGGGGTCTTAGCACACCTCTGTTGTTGCTTGGCTTCCTGGGGCTGGAGGCTAAGAGGGAGATCTGGCTGTCTGGTTGGGGTCTGGGGTGGTGGGTTGCTGTGCTCAGCGTTGGGCGGGGAGTCTGTTCATCAGCACCCCAGCAGAAAGGGTCAAACTCTAGTAATGGTTGTACCCAATGTGCAGCAGTACCGGGACTAGGGTGTGTATAGGGAGCATAAGTGGGTGTCTGGCGTGCATTTTTAGAAGTCTTTGGTTGTATGTGTATGTGCGAGCATGAGAGGGAGTGTATTACTGTGTTTGTGTATGACTGTATATGTCAGGTAGGGCCTTTGACTCCTCCCTTCTCCTGGGACTTGTTTTGATGATATAGATCTTCGTCTCCCCTCTCCCTGCCACACCTGGTGTGGAGTGCGGTACCTTGGTCTGCCTGAATGTTCGTGGCTCCCGGGTCAGGGGGTTTAAGATTTTTGGCATCTGTCTGATCAATCCCGGTGGCTGCCTGGTGGGGTCTGGGTCCCTGGGCTCTGCTGGGTCCCATGCGGGGGGTGGGAGGCTGCAGGTGGGCTTGCCGCTGATATCTCCCGGGTCTCTGCCAGCTGCTGGTTGTGGTCCCCCCAGGGCGATCCTCTGCACCTCTCAAGGGGGCAGGGGCCTTTCTGGTTGCAGTCTCCTTGGGGTTTTTGTGTTCTGGGGCAGCGGCTGGATCTCTGGGACTTGGAGCTCTCTTCGTCTTCTACACATCTTTGGGGGCAGGTCTGTGGCCCCTCACACTCTCTATTGGACGCTCCTATAGAGAAACTTTACATAAACAAGCGTGTGTACACACACATAGGTGCTCATATAAGTATGGACTTGGGCACGTTCAACACATGTCTTAAGGCTGTCGTTGCCACTAAATGCACTATGATTTATTATTATTGTGTGATTGTATTTCTTCAAGTTGACACAGTGATAGCTTGCTCCTGTTGTGTTGTGTGTCCCATTTTTTTCTCTTCTTTCTCTTTCTGCAGGCCTAGAAGCAGACTCTTGTTCATTGTTTATTTTTGTGGACCCCCCCCCCCCTTTTCTGCCCCCACCTTTTGTCTTTGTCTTTATGTTTCGCCTCTGATTCCGTGTCTGGTCGGAATTACAAAGTATTCAAAAACAATAAAGTTTAAAGTATCAGACGTGACATTAGCTTTGATGCTCCACTTGAGAATAAATCTGTAAGGCTTTTCACCAACATTCAGACATCAATTCTGTTTGCTTCACAGCCAGACAGGACACGGGGAAAATTAATGATAAAAATAATGTAACATTGTGAGTTTATTTTTAGTCATGCAAAGTTTAATGTAGAAATAAGTAAAACGTTATTAAAAGTTACAGTACTTAAAGCTAAACTGAGATTAAGTAAAATAATGTAAATACCATAAGACTATTCAAAAGTTTGACTGATAACAATGGGGTGTTTAAACTATTAAAGTTGCATTGTTTAAGACTAAATTAAAGAATATGTTGTGACTGAATATTTCATACAATGCAGTTATAAATAAATGTTTTTTAGTATATGTATTGCTGACTATTTGAATTAGTCTAAGCATTCTATATAGAATACAGCAGGTGTATGTGCACTTTCATAAGTGCAAGTAAGTTCTAATAAAACTTGACATTTAATAACCTTTGATATTTTTAAACAATAGTTTGAAATTTAGCATGATTTAAAACTACATTCTTGGGGTTTGATTAGAAATTTTCATTTTTATATTATGATTCCTTGTTCAGGGGTTATCAGTAAAGTAGTAATAATTATGTTAATGTATTTTGTCATAGATGTCACACACAAGTTATTAATTTTTATCCTTTAAATTAGATTATACTGTGATTAACTCATTTAAAGAGCAAGTCGCCCCCAAATCAACTTTCTGATAAACTATATAAATGTGTGTCTAATCGTGCTACAGAAATGCATAGTCAATAGTTTTGCACTTTAGTGCATTTTAGTTAAGATTTTAATTTTCTGCCTAAAACTGTCAGTGTTGTGCCGTTGTCAGATAAAAACTCTGCACTACATTTGAATTTAAATCTGTCATAGCTATTGACTAAGAGGTACACAGTGATGTTAGATGGTACATTATTATGTCACAATGTTGTGAGTGTGTGTATTTGTTTGTGGCTCTACCCTCTCGGTCTGCTAGACAACAGCATTTGTTGCATTTTTCAAACAGGAAGTGGGAGTTGAGTAAGAATCTGGTCATGGGTGACTTGCTCTTTAAAATTTAGGATTGTTTTTACAATTATATAAGTTTAGCAAATTGATGGTTGTATAAGATTCTAAAAGGTGTGAGTGAGTGAGTCTAATTCTGTCTTTACTGATTACAGACACATGATAACATAGAAATCCATAGTGTTTGTGTTGCTTTTCTAATAGTGCTGTCATGTATTTTATGTTTCAAACAGCATTCACTATGCCTGGCAAAGAGTCCAAACGCAAGGCGGATGCTGCTAAGCGCAGCAATCGTCCAGCTCCGCCTATTCGTATCGGGATTCCAACGCACAGCAACGATGATGTTAATTGTATGTATTGCAGTATTATTTCGCAGAACAAATTATTGTAGTGTTTTACAATTCATTTAATCTATACTGTATTTATGTAAGATGAAAAATTATTAGCCAAAAAGATTGTTAATTTTTGTGTGTGTGTTTTTGTTTTGTAAGTTTCTGGAACTGGCTTTCGTCATCGAGTTCGTCGTTGGCCGACCAGTGTGATTTCTAACAAAGCTCACAAGTTGGTCCTTCCAGATGAGATTCCTGACAAGAAAGTGAGTGTAATGTCAAAAATATTTAAAATATAAATATAGATTTTTTTCCAATACTATCTAGCAGTACTCTGGGATTCTAAGGAAACGGTCAGATGGTGTTGAAGCCGCTATCAGTTACAGTGCTGCAAACAGACTGAATCGGCTTCTTTTTGACATGTGCCTAAAGTCTACCAACTTTTGAATCTTAATAGAAAACCTAGTTGTGTTCATCTTCCTTTTTAGTCGGTGCTTCTCAATCTGTGATTTAGAACTTAAGCTGCTCAGTTATTTTTACATATCTTTATTTGTATTTATGTTGGTGTATTCTGTGATTAGTTTTACCATTTCATGTTTTATTGTTTGTAAACTTTGACTGTTTAATGTGATCTCTTTCTTCCTGAAAAGCATATTGCATTGCCGTTTGTATGAAATGTCATAGAAATACAGATTGTTTTATATTGAAATGTATTTATTAATTTTTCTAATTTAGTTCATCCTACTTGTTGGGGACTCCCACTTGAGGTCCGTGGCAGATGGCATAGTCCCTATGCCGGTTGGCGGCCTCGCTTTTGGTGTGATGTCCACTCCAGGAGCTTGTGCAGATCTTCTGCGCCTTGAGGTTTCACAGGCTGTGTTACCTCGGGAGCCTGATGCTGTTTGCGTCATGGCTCCTTCTAACAACCTTACGGCCAGCAGAACAGTTGAAGAGGCAGGGGATGCTTTTGAGCGGTACCTTTTGGCTGTTCTCAGTCGCTGGCCTAAGGTGAGAGGCTGATTTGTGTAATTTTGAAGGTATGAGAAATGACAGTAAACGTACATCTTTAAAAATAATTGTATTCTTTCTTCTTCTTTTTTTTTTTTTTAGGTTTTCTGTACCTCCATGATTCCCCGTTTAGTTGGTTCCTGGGAGCGTCAAGACCTGTTTCAGCAGGAGTACCACCGCAGATCGGCTAAGCTTGGTAAGTTGCAACATAATTAGATGAAACGGTAGTATTAACGACAAGCGTTATTGCTATTTACTCTTAGGTATCAAACAATCACAATGTATAACTTTACATGAATTTTTTCCTTCTGCTTCGAAGGTGTAAGTTATGTGCCGATCCACGATCACCTACCCAGGTACCGTCTTAAACTGTGGTGCCGTGATGGTGTAAGTATATTGCTTGGAAGAAAACAAGGTAAAGGTTCTTAAGTTTGAGATGATAAATTTGTATTTTCTTTTGTTCGTGTTTGTGGTTGCAGATCCACCTCAGTGATAATCACGGGATGCCTATACTCACGCAACTGATGTGGAATGCCTCCTATCAGTTCTTGGAGACACACGCACCAAAGCCACTGGTGCAGCACCAGGTGTCTCGTCCGCAGAAAGCGAGTATTGTGCCCCGTGTGGTTGTGAAGGGTGTGGAACGCATTCCACCTCCACGCCCTTCCGAATGGACGTTTGTGCGACCTAGCGGGAAGGTGAGAGACTTTATAAAGTATAAATATTGTAAAATGTTTATAATTTTAGGCAACTGGGCCAGTGATGCTTCTAAATGTGTTTTCTTTTATTTACCATTGCAGAGAAACCATTCAGGGGAATTTGAAAAGACTTCTAATTCCCCCAAGAAACGAGTGGTTGTTTCTAAGGTTTGTGAATATTTTTGATTGATCTTTTTCAAAGAATTTTGATTAGATGATAATATGTGGTGAATTTTCTTCAATAGGCTGATGACACTTCAGTGGCCTTGAAGGAGTGTTTCATCCCCCTGAATCCCGTTAGGTTCTCACCTTCAATTCTGGCTGCCATGGACACGATTGCTCCAGCGGATGGTCCCACAGAATTACAGGTAACTTTAAAGCAAAAGTTTATTATCTTTTAATGTAAAGTGTAATGTTGTTCCTGGTGCTTGTAATATGGGCTGTCTGTATGCTATATTTGAAAGTATTGTACTTAACCGTATTATTTTCTGTTTGTAGACTACATCTGTGCGACATTTTAAGAAAGCAGCTAGGCGTGTCCAGCAGGAGGTTGATTCATTAAATTATCTGGCATACAAATACATTGTGGTGTTATTTTTCTTCACCGTTGTTGTTCTTGAATTATAGGTTGCATCCACACCTTGCATAAATCCTCTTGCAGACGTGGAGTCTGTTCGGTCTAGGAAGGAGGTAAGAAGCGTGTGTTTCAAACATAAAAACTAAACTAATCTTTATTGACGATGTATTGCCCTTTAATTTCTTCTGTATAGGTGTTGGACTGTGACCAGCTGCCTTCACCCCACCATCAGGAGGCATCTGGTTGTCCTGGGTCTGTCTCTGGGTCTGTTGCTGCCCATGCTGTGATGCTTCCTTCTGGCCATCATGCGCATGCATCACCCAGAGGTCAGTCTGCTAACACCCCTTCTTGCGTGCGTTCACAGGTTTTGCTGTCATCTCTAGTTCCAGAGACAACTGTTCAAAATCCTGTTGTAAATAATTTTGATAAAGATAAAACAATTTTACACAACGATGATACAGTTTTAGACTCTGTCCTAGGATCATTTCACCAGGGCGATAGGCGTTTTAAATATGGGGGAGTTCAGTGTGCAGCTATTACTGTTGTTGCTTTAACAAAGCACAAACAGAAGAGTGTTTTCTCTTGGGATTTTGCCGTGTTGGATAACGTTGTTGAGTTAGGAGATCAGCTGTACACAGATTTGCGCGACAACAAGAAGATTAGAGGTGGACATGAGTTTCTCTCTGTTCCAGACTTGCCAAAGGAAATTGACATGGAAGAACAGAGTTTTAAGCTTGTTTACGGGGATTTCGTTATAGGAGATGTAGATGTAGCTGAAGGCGAGTTAATAGATGCTGGTGTGTACACTCCTCTCCTGGATGGATTGAAGAAGATGTGCACACAGCATGAAACTTGCATTATGACATTAAGTGGCAATACTTGTGCTATCATTTGTGATAATGGACGTTATGCTGTAGTAGATTCCCATGCACGCTCCGCAGACGGCATGGTAGACCCGACAGGACAGAGTGTAGTTCTGTACTTTGCGAACCTTGATAATGTTTTTCAACATTTTCAGAGGTTTGCTAGTGAACTGGTGGGATCTCAGAGGTTATTTGAGATCACTGGAGTGGATATTGTTCAGATGGACACATTTAAACATGTATCTGAACAAACAGATGACATTGACATAAACCCTGCTATTTTTGTTAGTGATGCTAGTACTAAAGATTTTCATTTCAGTCCCGTTTCTACAGACGTGTCACAGGCGTTGAGTAAATGTCTGAATGTGAAGTCTGCGATCGTTGATGAATCATCTCCTGTTCCTTCATGTAGCACAAGTGTGGTTAATGTTGATGATGACAACAGTATTGTAAACAATGATACAATTTTAAGCTCACTTACAGGATCATTTAATCAGAGCGATGGGCGTTTTAAATATGGCGGCGTTCAGTGTGCAGCAATAAGTCTTGTTGCTTTAACTAAGCACAACATACAAAGTGTTTTTTCATGGGATTTTGCCATGTTGGACAATGTTGTTGTTTTGGGCGATGAGTTGTACACATATTTACGTGACAGTAATCTAATAAGTGCTGGGAATGTGTTTCTTTCTGTTCCAGAATTGCCAAAGGAAATCGTTATGGGCAAACAGACTTTTAAGTTGAATTATGGCGATTTTGTTTGTGGAAATGTAGATATCGTTGAAGGCGAACTTATAAATGCTGGAGTGTACACTAGTCTTTGGGATGGTTTGAATAAGATGTGTACACAATATGAAACATGTTTTATTACACTTGGAGACAATACTTGCGCTTTACTTAGTGAAGATGGACATTATGCTATTGTTGATTCACATGCTCGTTCTGCAGATGGAATGGTTGACCCAAACGGTAAAAGTGTAATTCTATACTTTAGTAGTCTTGACAATGTTTTTGGATATATTCTGAGGTTTGCCAGTAAATTAAATGGAACTCAGAAGTTATTTGAGATTAGTGGAGTTAACATTGTTCAGATGGACACATTGAAAAATGTTTCTGAACAAACAAGGTTGCCTCCAACAACAGGAAAGGAGGTTAGACGTGAAGAGTCATTTCCACTCTCGGAACCAATAAAGTTACAGACAGATGACACCGACGTAAACCCTGTTGTTTTTGTTAGTGATGTTAGCACTAAAGATTTTCATTTCAATCCCATTTCTAGAGACGTGTCACAGGTGTTGAGTAAACGTCTGAATGTGAAGTCGGCAATGGTTGATGAATCATCTCGTGTGATTGGTGAATTGGGTGTACCATGCATGAATAAATCAATAGTGGCAGATGGAAACTGTTTTTTTAGAGCACTTAGTCAAGCTGTTTATAGCACCCAGGAATATCATAGAAAAATCCGTCTTGCTTTGGTCAATCAGTTAAAAAAGAATCCTCAAACTTATCAAACCATTTTAAGAAGTGAGTATTCCTCAGTTTCGCAGTACCTCACCTCATCCAGGATGCAGTACGTTGGCAGTTGGGCAACTGAAGTGGAAATTCAAGCTGCTGCTGATTATTTTGGCATTAACATATTTACTTACTGTAATGATAAATGGCTTAAATACACTTCCAACAGAAACTTTTCACAGCAGGCTGTTTATTTGGAGAATAGTAATGGTAACCATTATGAGACAGTGGTTTGTGTAAAACAACCTAACACAGAAACTTGTTATGGTTATTGTGGCCCTGTAGATAGTATTTCTGGTAGATACAATACTCGACATGCCCCTACAGAACATTTAAAATGTTCAGTAGAAACTGTGACACTTGAGCCGAGTTCCATAGATACAGATGGTGTTAGTGTTGTTCATTCAAAGACTTTATTTACTCCTATGTCTGCAGATTTTTGTAAAACTCTGTGTAATCGGTTGAAAATTGATTTTGAGAAACACAATTCTCAAGAATCCACATCAGGTGGGCCTTTAGGAAATGTGTGTAAGACAGAACATATTATTAAAGATGATAACAGTTTTTTTAGAGCTGTAGCTCATTTAATTAGTGGGTCACAGAAGGGCCATCGTAAGATCAGACTCGCTGTTGTTTCTTATATGTCCAAAAATGTTGAAGAGTGTGAGAACTTTCTGGGAAAAGAACATGCTTCTGTGTCAGAATACATAAAAAAGTCACAGATGAATTATGTCGGTCACTGTGCTACAGAAGTAGAATTTAGAACTACAGCCAGTGTTTTAGGAATACCCATATTTATCAACAATGGCACAGAGTGGGTCAAATATAGTTCTCAAACTAGTAATTTTGTCACTGAGGGACTATATTTGTCAAACTGTAATAATCATTTTGAACCCGTTCTTTGCATAAGACTGAGTAATAAAGAAACATGTTTTGGGTTTTGTAAAGTTGATTCTTTGTCAGACAACATAAACAAATGCAGAAGGTCAACTATGATGCAGTTAAATGCTGACCCAAACATGGAAAAGGTAAAAACGAGGAAGAGTTTTTCCAGATATTTAAAGCAAAATAAGGCTTATGCAGAAGCCTCTAATTATAAAACAGTAAATGCAGTTAAGGACAAAATAAAAAGTCAGAAGAAAAATGCATACAAGCAAAATGTTGCTTATAGAATGAAAAAGATCAGCGTGACCAAATTTAAATACAAATTTCTTCTTTCACATAAAGAGAAAGTAAAAAAGATGGCTTCGTTTTACTACCATTACAACTTGTCTAAGAAAGAGAAAGTTAAACAGAGGGCCAAACATAGGTCCATTTTCAACTACCATCATAATTTGGCTCACAAAGACAAAGTTAAACGGAGGGCCAAACATAGGTCCATTTTCAACTACCATCATAATTTGGCTCACAAAGACAAAGTTAAACGGAGGGCCAAACATAGGTCCATTTTCAACTACCATCATAATTTGGCTTATCAAGAAAAGCTTAAACAGATGAGTGTGTATAACTACCATCATAATTTGGCTCATCAAGACAAAATGAAAGAGTTGAGTAGAAAGAAATACCTTAATGTTGAACATAAGACATGTTTAATAGAAAGTATCCAGCATAAAAGAATGCTGATTAAAGTAAATTCACAAAACTTTGATTTTGTTTTAGATCAGTTTTTAGAGAAGGTGAAAGATGGACCTGATTTTGTGTGTTGTGTTTGCTCACGTTTGTTGTTTAGACATCAGGTCTTAAATTGTAATCAAGAATACTATAGAAAAACCAAAGAAATGTCACTTATAGCAGATAAATGTATAAGTGACAATCATCTACACAAATGCAATGATGCATGTAGATTACCTTGCAAATTGAATGTATGTAGAAATAAATTGTACATCTGTTACACGTGTCATTATAAAATTAGTAAATGTCAGATACCCCCAGAAAGTTCAATCAACAGGCTGACTATTGATCCCATCCCACCTCAACTGGCATGTTTAAATACATTAGAGCAACATTTAATAGCGATGAATATACCATTTATGAAAATGTTGGCTCTGCCTAAAGGTGGTCAGAATGGGATTCATGGCCCGATATGTTGTGTACCTGCAAATATAGTGGAAACGTGCAGTTTGTTACCACGTACCAACATGGAGGGGTCTTTATTACCTGTAAAGTTAAAGCGTAAATTGACATATAAAGGACACTATGATTATCAGTATGTCGACACACAGCATGTTCAGGAAGCTCTTCAGTATTTAAAACATCATAATTTGCATTACAAAGATGTAGAGTTCAATGAGTCTTGGATTAACACTTTTACTCAGGAAGATGAGTCATCTGTCTTGGAAGAGGATAGTGGTTCTAGTAAAGATGAAGATACTTGCATAGATGGAGAAGATGAGTTATTGCATGACAGACAACAGCACTGTATGTTTCAGGACACCTGTCTCATGCCAGTAGATATAGGACAAGAAGCATTGGACCAGTATGTAGATAACATATTAAATGTAGCTCCAGGTGAAGGTAACAATCCAGTGAAATTGCTTTCAGATTTTACAAATGAAGCAAAATGTTTTCCCGTCTTGTTTCCTTCAGGATCGAATACTTACTATGAAAGCAGACAATTTCGTTTGACTCTGAATCGGTATTTCAACAACAGGCTTCTTCATGTCGATGGTCGGTTTGCTAACAATGTAGAATATATATTTTTTGCACAGTACATGTCTGAACTAGAGCAAGTTGTGTCCAAAGTTTCTATAGCTTTGCGTAAAGGTAAAAGCGGTGAGTCTCAGAAGTTGGGTAATATGATACAGGATCAGGATTCTTTAAGTAAGCTGTTAGAGTTTGATGATGGCTACCGGTTTCTTAAACCAATTCGCGGCACACCTGCTTTTTGGCAATCTGCTCAGCGAGACCTCCTGGCTTGTGTAAAAATGTTGGGCAAACCTACTTGGTTCGCATCATTTTCATCGGCAGATTTGAGGTGGACTAACCTTCTTTATAGTATTTTGAAACAGGAAGGCAGAACAGAGACAGTTGAACAGCTGGAGTGGGCTGATAAATGTGACCTCCTACGTAGGAATCCAGTAACTGCTGCCCGAATGTTTGATTTTAGATGGCATGTCTTCTTAAGGGAAGTGCTAATGTCTCCTGCCAATCCCATTGGTAAAATAGAAGATTATTATTATCGTGTTGAGTTCCAGCAGCGTGGTTCTCCTCACTGTCATTGCCTTTTCTGGGTTTCTGGTGCTCCCATTTTAGATAAAAACTCAGATGAGGAGGTCACTGCATTTGTTGATGAATATGTGACATGTGAACTTCCTTCTGAAGACGATTCACTACATGAAGTCGTCTCATCTGTCCAGCAGCACTCCAAACGGCATTCAAAGACTTGTAGAAAGAAAAAAACTGTTTGTCGTTTTAATTTTCCACGACCCGCATCTGTTAGAACTTTTATTAGCCGCGGTGAAAAGTATCAAGATGCAGTGAAGACTTGCAAGTGTGATAAAACAGATAGCACTGTACAGTGTGCCTGTGTGTCTCAAGATAAAGCACGTAAACAGGAAATGGACAAAGAAGTAGCAAGTGCCATTTTAACTAAAGTGAAGACTGCTATTTCTAGTGAAGACTGTCCATATAACAGTGTAGAAGGTTTGTTTCAGGGCCTGGGTATCAGTCAGGAACTATTTGAAATGGCATATAAACGATTTAGTCGAAATACACATGTTGTTTTGAAAAGGGAAGTTAATGAAATCTGGATTAATCAGTATAGCAAGTTGCTGTTAAAAGCTTGGAATGCTAATCTTGATATCCAGTATTGCGTCGATGCTTATGCGTGCTGTGTATACATAATATCTTACATGTCTAAAAGTGAACGGGAAATTGGCCTTCTGCTTGCTAATTCTCAAAGAGAAGCAGCTAAAGATGGTAATCTTAGTGCTAAAGAGGCCTTAAAGAGTCTTGGTAATGTTTATCTTCATAATCGGGATGTTTGTGCGCAGGAAGCAGTCTACAGGCTAACTAACATGCATCTTAAGGAGTGTTCTAGGAAAGTTGTGTTTGTTCCCACTGGTGATAATATAGTGAAAATGAGTTTGCCTATTTCTGTTTTGAGGCAAAAAGCAGCATCACAGGATCTTACTTCAGATGACATGTGGATGACCGGATTAGTTGATCGTTATAAGAAGAGGCCAAATGATGATGTGTTCAATGATATGTGCCTGGCTACGTTTGCATCAGAATATCGTGTTTTGAGTAAAAACGAAAAATGTAGAAATCCTATAAAGTTAAGTAATGATTTAGGATTTGTTACAAAAAGAACTCGGACTAAACCAGCGGTTGTTCGTTACGCGCGTTTCTCTGAAACCAAAGACCCAGAGAAATTTTATCAAAGCATGTTGCAGTTGTTTTTACCGTACCGCCATGATAGTCAACTTAAGCTTAACTGTGAAACCTTTGAGGAATTTTACAGAACTGGTTTAATTAGATTTTTTGATAGAACAAACCACTCGGTAAAGGCTGTTGTAGATTTAAATCGGGGTAAATTTGAGTTAGAATCTGATCATTTGGATGCTGTGAATAATCTAGTCGGTGATGTAATGTTAGAAGATGCATGGTGTGAGTTGTGTCCGGCAGTTGAAATGGAACGTTTGGAGTGTGTTGAAATACTGAAAGAATCAGAACCAACAGTAAGTGACGAGGCAGAAGTAATCCCAGATTTGGCTCCATGTTCAAACCAAACTACACATTTAGAGAAGAGAAACACGATGAGTAGAGGTGAAGGTCTGGCATTGATTAGGTCTTTAAATGAAAAACAGTTTTCTGTTTTTAATCGAATCAGGCAGTGGTGTGTAGATAAAGTTAATGGTAATAACCCTGAACCACTGCATGTTTTTGTTACAGGCGGGGCGGGCGTTGGGAAAAGTCATTTAATTCGAGCAATAGAGTATGAAACTCAGAGATTACTGTCACCAAGCTGTAGACATCCTGATAATGCATGTGTAGTATTGGCAGCTCCTACTGGGATTGCAGCATATAATTTAGGTGCAACAACAATCCACACTACACTGTCTATAGGAAAGGATGTACGGTTACCGTACACTCCTCTGGGTGAAGAAAAACTAAATTCTTTACGTACAAAATATTGTGATTTGCAGCTTCTTATTATTGATGAAATATCAATGGTAGATCATAACCTGTTGTCCTATGTTCATGGTAGATTACGTCAAATTAAAAAAACGGGCGACTTTTCACCTTTTGGAAATGTCAGTGTAGTGGCTGTTGGAGATTTCTTCCAGCTACCTCCTGTTAAAGGGAAACCACTCTATTCTGATGGTGTAGGTAGCAACTTATGGTCAAGCCTATTTAAAGTTGTACAGTTAACTGAAGTCGTTAGACAGAAAGATGCTGTGTTTTCTGGACTGCTAAATAGAATCAGAACTCATACAAAAGGTACACCATTGTTACCTGAGGATTTAAAGGTTTTAAAAACGTGTGAAACAGGTGAGGCAAGCTCAGCATTGCACATATTTGCAACAAATAATCAAGTAAATAATCACAACATCCATCAGTTATGTCACGTTTGTCCTGATTACATATCAATTACAGCCAAAGATTATGTTAATGATAAAAGAACAGGCAAACTGAAGTTGTTGGAAGGGAATCATGCCAGAGCTTCTAATACTAACTTGTCAGAAGTGTTACAGTTGGGTAAGGGTGCGCGTGTAATGTTGTGTAAAAATGTGGATCTCATTGACGGTTTAGTAAACGGAATTTGTGGTACTGTGACAGAAATGGTAATATTAGAAAATGACACCTTTCCTAAAAAGGTTTATGTTCAGTTTGATGACCATCGTGTAGGCTTGCAGAGGAGGAAAACCTCCCAGTCTCTGTCATCAAATTTAGCTGGATCTACACCTATTGAACCCGAGGAGGAAAGAGCCACTGTTAAAGGTGGATTACGTCGACAATTTCCTCTTAAATTAGCTTGGGCGGTTACGGTTCATAAAGTTCAGGGACTCACTCTTGAAAACGCCGTTGTTAGTTTTAGGAAAATATTTGCACCAGGTCAAGCATATGTAGCACTTAGCCGTGTAACAAGTCTTTCAGGACTCACAATTCAGGACTTTGATGAAAAACGAATCTATTGTAAAGATGACATTACAGTTGCAGTTAACGATATGACCCCTTTTTTGTCTCCAAACTCACAGTTCGACAGATTTAACTCTTCTGCATTCACTGTGTTTTTAATGAATGTCCAAAGTCTGAATCGACACGTTAAAGACTTAGCTTTCTGCACACAGCATTTGCAACCTAATTGCATTGCTGTCACAGAAACATGGGTATCTACAGACAGATCAGATGCAGTACAGATTGATGGCTATAGTTTTTACAACTACCCACGAGGTTTAGCTTATTCTAGTACTCAAGAGTCATTGATTGCTTTTCAAGAACAACAACATGGTGGTGTTGGCTTTTATACCGCAGATGGTGTGGCATTTAAAATGTTGCAAGCTCCAGACGTCAACTTGGAGAGTTTAGTGTATAGCTTTGTTAACTTACACATAGTACTTGGACTCATTTATCGACCGCCTTTGTATCCCCTTTCTTTGTTTAAAGTAAATTTAACAAAGTTGCTTGATTGGCTGGAGGTACAAAGTGAGACATTAGTACTAATGGGAGATTTTAATGATGACATTTTAAAATCATCAGCAGTATTAAAACTTTTGACTGACAGAGGCTATGCCCAAATAGTCAAACAGCCAACGACCGAGAAAGGCACTTTAATAGATCATGTCTATGTAAAATCCAAAAAGTATATAGCAGAAGCATCTGTTATTCCAACGTATTTTAGTGATCATCAGGGCATCATTTGTGATTTTACACGGCTTTAGTTTACATCAAAAACAGATTTGATTTGATCAACACCTAACTGCAGAATTTGTAATGTAAAGAGGTGTGTGTGTGTGTGTGTGTGTGTGTGTGTGTGTGTGTGTGTGTGTGTGTGTGTGTGTGTGTGTGTGTGTGTGTGTGTGTGTGTGTGTGTGTGTGTGTGTGTGTGTGTGTGTGTGTGTGTGTGTGTGTGTGTGTGTGTGTGTGTGTGTGTGTGTGTGTGTGTGTGTGTGTGTGTGTGTGTGTGTGTGTGTGTGTGTGTGTTCAATTTTAGCTTTACTTTTACTAATATTTTACCTTTCCTTACATGAGCTATCTCTACTGAGAGCAAAGTCAATTTCGTTGTAGTCTGTCAGAACTTTTCTATATGAAATATATTGGATGTATTGTTTTTAAGCAGTGTACATCTTTCGATGTCGTTGAGGGGTTGTACACACTCAGGACAACTACGCTGCCGCGTTCCATGTGTGAGAGCAGGCGTTGTAGGACAATGTGCGCACAGGAGTGTAGCAAGATTTTTAAACTGGGTGTTGAAATTTCTCTGATGCATATAGGTGAGAAGTGTTACATTCGCAAACTATTTCGCTGTCATGAGAGCAACGAAGGGGGTAGTAATGCGCAGATCGTTTTGGTGTCGTGCATTTGTCATGGCACTAGAATTTCAGGTGTAGTGCAGCACCACGCCTATGTAGGAAAAACCACTAACTGCTGCTGTATGCTTCACCATTTCTGTAATTGCTTCAATTTTCATGTCCCCTACTGACCTAGTCAAAATAACATTTAGCCATTTCCCACCTTCTCTCAGCTCTAGAATGCTCTTTCCCCTTGTCCTCTGCATTAATCTCTCACCCACTTTTTAATCAAAACTAAAAACATATCTGTCCAGATCAGCAATTAATACACTAATTTTATCTTTTTAATGTTTGTGAGTGTGTGTGATTGTGAATGTGAGTGTGATTGTGTGTATTTCATCTTCTTTGTTGCAAAATGTCTAGGGTGTATTGGAAAGCTTTTAAACATATTTTTTACATCAAAATTAAATGTGTTTAAAAGCTTTCTAAAGGTTTCGTTTCCTGCATTAAGATGGCATTTATTGAAATTAAACTGAAAATCTTTAGTACAATTGGCTTCTCATTCATCACTATTGAATGATGTAACAATTCAACACCAAATTATGCATAATGTTAAAAATTAAACTGGTGAATTTCTTGCTGTTTTAATGCAGGGTTTGCTTTACCTGGTAAAATGCACAAAAAAGCAAAGGCAATGGTCTGGTCTCCCACTTGTGGGACAGGGTTCAAATCCCTGTGTTGCCCTGCTAATTGTGTTGATCACTGGAAAAAACTATTATTCAAAAAGGCAAAAACAATAAAATTTAAGTTTAAAATCTTACTTGCTGCAATTCACCCTAGAACTAAACACACATTTTGATTTCTAGGACAACTGATAAGATCACACCCATGGGCATTTCTAGCATGCTTTTATGAGTACTGAAGCACCCCTAAATTCATCTCTAGCACCCCTAAAGTTTAACATTTATTTATTTATTTTTACAATTTATGGTGATTTTTAAACACATTACTAATATCTAAAAATAGGTCAAAACATTGTTTTACAAACAATAATATAGCAAATCTCCCCTGTCTTAAAAATGGTTTGATCCTGCTCACCTTTCCAGCCTCTACTCTGAGCCTTCCTGAGTGGCTGACATGCTGCCATTAGGAACCACGTTTCTTTCTGTGGGACAGACCTGAATTTACATTATTTTTCACAGGTCTTTGAATCTTGCATAAACTGATTGTGAGGCGAAAACAGCAGCTGTCAATCAAACTAAAAGGTGGGACTTTGACGTAGGTCTGGCCACTCACGAACCTCCATACCAAATGGTAATGTCAGAGTGATCCAGGACTCATGGGAGATGAGCGCACTGGAGAAATGCTGTTACAATAAAGGCTGAAGGGTTAAAGTTGTTCAGGTTCTTCAGTAATCAGACAGGCTGGTGCTAAAGAAGCCCAATAATAAGCTTCTAACACAGACAAGGTACTTGTGTTGTTTCATAGCCAAACTCTTTTGAATAGCATTTAACAGTTGAAAAAATCTAATTAAATCCTTGATTATTTCTTCAGACATGCCTGAGGAAAAAAAATCAGAACATTAAATTTAAATCTAACTTATGTCAGAGATCAAAGTCACTGTTGTTTTCTCTCCTCTAAATTTCTACTGTAAGAGACTATTTGTTATTTTTGCTAAGCCACCATTCTGTTTTAGTTTTTTTAAATTCTGGAAAAAAAAGACAATTTATCAAAAAAGTTTGGATTTATTTCAATGAGATGTTGATATTAGTGGAAAATTATGTGAAAATAAGTATAAATTGATCTAAAAATATTACTGTTACTTTTACTGTCATTTTATTGTGGAAAGATAGACAAATCTGTTCATTTATGGGTTTACAAAGGTCATTTATGAGAAGTTTCATTCAAATCAAATCATGCATATGTCATACAAAGCAAACAATATTTAAGGAAATGGTGCTATAGTGGTTTAATTTGCTGAGCTAGTAAAAACATTTACCAGTGTTGTGTGATAAAATACAACAAGTTTGGCATGTTTGTGACTTTATTTGTTGATGTTGTTCAAGTTTTAATTCATCTAGGTGGTGCTGTCTTTAATTCATGTAAAATCTCTTTGAGCTGTTCTTGAGAGAACCAAAATCAATGTGGTGTAAATTGGTATAAATCACACTGCATATTTTATCTAGAGCCAATTGTCTGTAGAAATTATTACACTTTTAAAAGTTTGTAGGTTGCACTGTAGAGAAAATGGATCACATGCACGAACAATTTCCACAGAGTTCAGTTAGAGGCTGCATTTATAGGCGCTTACCAACTGCATAAGTTCCTAGAACCATCCTTCCAGTAAGAACATTTTCACATTGCATTCACACAGCACTCAGAAACCTTTTGGAGGCGGCCATGACAAAACCACCTGTGACAGTGTGAAATGTTAAGTGCCGGAATAACAACACCAAGAAGCTAAGCTCACAATTACGCTAACGGGGCTGAGGAGGTGAGACTCGGCATCCCCTCAGAGCCCACCATTATATTACACGTCTCACCACTAGTAGGATACTGCAAAACAAACAATCGCATATCTCAATAATTAAATACATGACTGCATCCTTGTGAATAAGTAATTAAGCCATCGGTGCAGGTGATTCACAAAAGTGATTAAAGTATTATGTAATAGAATATGGGTTTGTAGCAGCATATGATATGATGGGGGGATAAAAACATATTTACAATCAGAACTCTTGGTTAATATTGCACAGTCAGTGAGGGCACAGAGTAACCTAGGTAACAGTATTAGGAGAATCACCTACAGGGTAAGGAAGAGTTAAACAATCCTATTGCCACCGGTATGAAGGATTTCCTGTGGTGGTCAGTTCTGCATTTCGGGGCAATGAGTCTTTTGCTGCATGTGCTTCGATGGTCCATCATGTGGGCGTGCATGGGGTGGGAGGGGTTGTCCATGATAGAGAGAAGCTTTTTTAGCATTCTCCTCTCAGACACCTCCTCCACGTTCTCCAGTCTAACACCCAGGACAGACCGAGCCCTTCTAATCAGCTTGTTCAGCCGGTTGGCATCAGCTATCTTCATCCCACTGCCCCAGCACACAGCTGCAAAGAACACAATGCTCTCCAACACCGAGTGATAGAACATTGTCAGCAATTTCCTCCCAACATTGAAGGACCTGAGCCTCCTCAGATTCAGGCCCTATTCAGGGCCTAATATCTGTGAGGGGGCGGAGCTAAAGCGATATCTAACAATTACCACATGATTGTGTTGGGTTCCTTTGTGTGATGACACATACCAAGTTTGATGCAGTTACAACCTCTTCTGTAGGAGTTATTACAGTTTTAAAGGTATGTAGGGGGCCCTGTGATGATATTACACAACGTTCTCCAACCGTTTGTGCCTCGTTGGCTAAAGGCCATGACTGTTAATTGCCATGTTCAGTCTCGGGCAAATCGGAGGCCGTTTGTGGAAGTCACAGTCAAACGTAAGGTCACGGCATCACGCCAGAATTCGCCATGGCATCAAAGCCCCTCCCTTTATGGAAAGCTATCAGATATGAATGGTCATTACAGCATCATGAAGACAGTGCATGACCTTAGTGTCATGTTGACTAAATTAGAGGGGACGAATATGGGCATTTCACCATAAAACAATAGTCTTCCTGTAGTCAGGAGGCGGGGCTTAGGTGATGTCAGCTGTCCACTGTCATTGTCTTGAGATGTGGTCAGTGATCACACAGACAAAGTTTGATATAGATTTGATCATGCACATGGGAGTTATTAAGTCAAGTAAAGTAATGGTGAAGGTCAAAGTTTGAGGCTTAGCCACGCCCACACCTTTATACTTATTTAAAATCTGACGGTTGAGTTTTTTCCCATTTGTCTTAAGAGTACATAGCAGAAGTTTGAAGGTGATCGGTGAAAAGGGCAACGGGGCATCAATGTCCAAACAACGTGCAGAAACTACTAAATCGAGTACTTGGACCAAAATGGCCGACCTCCTGTGCGAAATTGCGCTTGGCTCCAAGAGACTTTTTTATAGGTCCTGAGACACTACATGAGTGTACCAAATTTCATAATTCTCAGTCAAAGCATGTCTTGGGGCTGACAGTTTTAATGGTCCTAGGGGGCGCTATTTCAGAAAATAGGCCACGCCCACAAACTTCAGCTGTTCATTTCTATTGGGGGTCAGAATAGGATCACTCACCAGACATTTTGTGGCGATATCACAATAATTTAAGAAATGTGAGGCAAACATATTCCCATGGCGTGATGGCGAATTTCGCCATGCTCCCAAAGCCCCGCCTTTTTTCGAAACCTGCCAGTACTGGAGACCAAGTGACCTCAACTTGTCTGCTGCTATTTGCCAGAGATTGCTGGTGATTGGGTAAAATGAGTCCAATTGGGAGCTGTGAAAAAAAGAGTGGCGTGGCGAAAGGTCAAAGTTTGAGGCTTAGCCACGCCCACACCTTTATACTTATTTAAAATCCGATGGTTGAATTTTTTCCTTTATGTCTTAA